TGAAACCTTTCATTAAGTTTGATCAGCGCTTCATATTCTGACCTGCAGATCAGACTAACAAGGGTCCCCCTCATACCCTTTACAAAACTAGGAAGGAAAGAGGAACGACCCCTGATTCTGACCAACTAGCATGATTGAAATGAAGAGAGTAAAAATATTAGAGAATCATAATGATCTTATGGCTTTCTGAAGTGATATCTTGGCAATGCATGTCATGTAATGCATTGCAACACATTGCATTATGTTTTGATGTTGGGATGTATTGACAGTCTTATACTACAAACATCACAAAGCTGTAATAAGATGTCTGCTCACTACAGAATTGTACAGCTGTCTCTGTGACTCCCTTTGATAAAGTGTCCATTTCAATGTTAAAGGTTGAGTAATGATGCATGTAATGAAATATACACGGCTGGTTTCTATATTGTGTGGTATGGTGCTAAAATTCAAGGACAATAGAAGTTTTGGGTGTTTTAAAAATTATTCAGTCTTCAAACTGGTTTGCGATTTAAGATAGTGAGTTTGTAGGATATCCAAGTTTCTGTTACTAGATGAGAAAATACAACAAAGCACTACATTTCAGGTAGATATGCAGTAGATTGGTATTCTAAAAATGGGCAGATTTTCAGCACGAATAACTACATTGGCCTCATGATATCCTCTTTATCTCTTTATTGGACCTTTGCAAATCAATAATATTTACTTGGCCGTTTACCAAAATATCAAATCTTTTTAATATAGAAATATGCTATTTCCCAAAACTGTAAATAGTGAGTGTGTGTGTGTGTGTGTGACAGAATATTCCCCTGTATTAACACCAACACACTATTGTAATCTTCGTACAAAGTATGCATTTTCAGGCATCATTTAAAAACTCATAATTTGCTTGTCAGTATAATCCTGATTACATAAAATGTTGCCACAAATATTTTAAATTATAAGATTTACCTGTATATTGTTATTAACACATGTTCCAAACACCACAGCCCAGCCCAAACAGAAATCAGCAAATAGGAATGTCTTAGACAAAGGAACGTGTGCTTGCCTTAATTTGCACTTAAGCAATAAACAGAGGCATCAAGCTGGGAGGGAAACAAAGAAGGCTCAACCAGGTGAGAAAAAGCCAGCAGGGAACATCCTTCCACATAGACTCTTTGTCTCTTAGTGCCCAGCTGGAAATATTTTTCAAGAGGGGGACTGAATCTATAAAAAGGAGGGACAAACTTTTACTCCCCTGTCTATCACATTCACTGCACCTGAAGAGACTGCTGGACTCCGGGTGAGCGTTGCTGACCTCAGAATTTGGTCAATAATTTGCTGGAGCATGTGGTAAGAAACTTTGCTTGAATCTGATATAGTTGGGCATTAATAAATATCTCTATTTTCTTGTAACCACTTTTGATTTTTATGCATCATTACTTATACTCAAATCAATTTCTTCATAGTTAATAAACTTTTTACTGCTTTATCTAATTGTGACGTTCCCCTGGTGTTATCTGGACTGGTGATCTGCTAGATCACTCCAATCTTCGAATCTGGGAGCCAGTCTTACCCTGGCTGAAAACCCCCACTCCCAGGCTGTTCACGCACAGCCTCTCGCATGTAAGCTGCTCCCAGCTACGTGAGTGAGCACTTTTGGCCAGCTGTTGCTTGGATTGTGCAATTGAATGACACTAGCCAATATCTCCGTTCCCAGACACAACCCTAGGAACCTCCATCTTGCAGTGTCCAGTTATGCCCGCTGGATGCTGCAAGCTTATATGAGTTAATCAATTTAACAAAGAATTTGATATGTACCAGGCTTGTTATCCCAAGGAGAGTCTCTGACACACTTCAAACCAAATGCACTGCTTCAGGTAGAATAAACAAACAAATTTATTAACCACAAAAGATATAATCACTTAAGATCTAAGTCAAAGCTGGTCTTAACACTTTCAGTGCCCTTGCAAACTTAAATGCTTCTCACCACAGGCTGGCTGATTGCCCTACAGCCAGGCTCTCCCCTTTGATCAGCACTTCAGTCGCTTGGTGGTGGTGTCTGTAGATGGAGGTGGAAGAGAGACTGCAGGGCAAATGTCTCTCCCTTTTATCATGTTCTTTCTTCCCTCTTGGCTTTGCTACCCCCTCCCCCCCTTCAGAGTCAGGTGAGCATTACCTCATCGTAATCCCAAACTGACCAAGGGAAGGGGGGTGACTCACTTGAGAGTCCAACAGATCCTTTGTTGTTGCCTAGGCCAGTGTCCTTTGTTCCTGGGCTGGGCTGGTTTTGTCCCATACATGCCCCGATGAGGTGTGAACTGCCCCTCTGCTCTTGGAGAGTTTTGCCTGGGCTTGTTTTAAGCTATAAGGACACATTTTCAGCTTCATAACTATATATGTGAAATTACAACCTATAAGATTACTGAAACAACAATGCTCAGTGCATCATGAGCCTTCCAAAGACACCCGACATGACAAACTTTGCATTGGCTACCACACAATCATATTATAAGGATGAACATGGGGGTTCAGGGGGTTCCCCTGAGGTACAGAACATCACAATAATCTGATGTGTTCAAATTGAAGAGTCTGAATAACTGTTTGAGATAATAAACTGGGATGTCATTCCCTTAAAGGAATAACAGATTTAAAATATGTGTATTGTTCCGGAGAGGGCTGAGCAGGACATACATGTCTGTGGGAAAATCTGAGACTGGGGGTGTGTGTTGGGGTCACTCTGCAGAATAACCAAGGGTGGTGAACGCTGCAGTGTAACCCAAAGGTGGCTGGCACACAGACCTTCAGGGTGTGGCTTGAATACTGAAAAGGCTGTTGCTGAGTGGCCCAGGTGGGAGCTACTTCAGCAAAGCATTGCAAGGCACCCAAGATTGTAAGGCAGGGGTGACACAGCCCCCTACTGATCTGGATTGTACCCTGGTACGTCACATCGAGGAAAGGTTTTGAGAGGGTAGTGATTTAAAGCTATTACCTGTTACTGTACAGTCATATACCTGTGGTGGGAGTAGTGGCAGTCTAATGTAAGAGAGGAGCATTCCTAAGTCTCGTTGCCTGCTTTGCAAATCATGTCTCACCCACATCATTAAAGCCTGGAATATGGCTTCTTCATCTGGTACATTGATGTCATCGCTAGACAGGAGTTTTGCTATTTCACTAGCAGGAAGCAAAAGAAATTCCTGATTCTGTATCACTTCTGTGAAGTGTTCCTAGAAAGGAATAGATTTCAATGAACTCATGTTATTGACACCTTGATACAATATTTGAGCAGAGAATGCATTTTGCATGGGTTGTATGCCTGCTCCCTAATAGAATCTAGACAATGTTCTACAGATTACTGAATCTAACATGGTTTCTGAAGTACAGCCAAAATTAATTTCTTTAAGAAGTTTTTTCTTGCCTAAAAAGAAATAGATAACTTGAAATGTAGAATGCAATTGAGAACTACATAGAAAAGATCTAGAGGATTTATACTAAGTTTGTATGCTAACCTTTCACTTGTGAATTCCAGACATTGACTTATGACTTAAGTGAGATATCAAAGTGAGTTTTGTGACTTTAGCCTTCTTTAAAGTTAGTGTATGGACAGGATAGATCTAGAGGCCAGGGACTGTTTCAGAGCAAAGCACAATGAGCCCCCAATCCAAACTGGGCCTCTGGACACTGTTGTAATACATAAATAATAGGACACCAGTACTAACAAGATAGATTAGAATTCCCCGGGATCTTACATCTTTGTTCTCTGAGACACTGTCATTTGGGTCTGAGCCATGTCGTCCATTCCAATTACCGCTGCCTCAGCTCCCTCTAGAATCTTTTGTCAGTCAGTCCCTTTATGGTTAGCAAAGGAGCTCCCCCACAGGAACTGTATGCTGGATTTTTTTTTCCCATGGCTACTCCAGTTCTTTTGAGGAAATTAACTATTTTTAGGCAGCTCCATCTCTCTCAAGCCATTGGTCACTCCCTCATCAGAGGCATGGAGGGCTGACATACATGAGAGGTTTCAAACATCATCATAGTTGCCTTGGCATTTCAATACTAGGTAGAAGAAGAACTATGTTTTTTCCTGCCTTAGCACACTAGCACCTAGCAGGCTCAGTTGTTGTCCTGTGATACATCAGCAGTGGCAAGGAAAGGCAACCTGGTGAGTTGGCAATTTTACGGGTGCTCCCTCGGGCATGTATTTAAGGTTCTAGAGGGGGAAGAGGCAGACGTGAGAAGGAACCCAGGGGAGGAGCTCATACCCAACTGTCAGTGTCAACAATCTAATACCCTGGAGATCTCTGACCAGTCTGGCACTTTAAAGCTGAGGCCCCAGGACAAGAATCTTGGGTGGTGACATTTTCAAAGAAGCAGAATTACAGGGTAATGATTTTTTTTTTTATCGTTGTGCTATGTTGTGAACAAACTTTCCAAACACTTTGGCTTAGTTGTCACACTCTGCTCAAAGAGAGGCCCAGGGACAGAAGCACAGTAGTGGTGAAGTTCATTAACAATGATTTAGAGAAGATTGTATGCCATATGCCTAGAGAGCACCCGGCTCCAGAGAGATATAAATTCTTCACTTTTGTGAGCATTAAACACTCAGATTGAATGATTCATTCTTAATTTATAGAGGGATTATTAAAGATTATTTTACTATTAATATGATCTTTCATCCAAGATTAGAAGTAAAACAACTCTCTAGGGGTACGTCTTCACTTACCGGAGGGTCCGGCGGCATGAAATCGATCCCGGATCGATCCCGGAAGTGCTCACCGTCGATGCCGGTACTCCAGCTCGCCGAGAGGAGTACGCGGCATCGACGGGGGAGCCTTCCTGCCGCGTCTGGACCCGTGGTAAGTTCGGACTAAGGTACTTTGAATTCAGCTACGTTATTAACGTAGCTGAATTTGCGTACCTTAGTCCGAAGTGGGGGCTTAATGGGGACCAGGCCTAGGTCTCTCATAACCCCTGCAAGTTACACCCATTTTACAGAGATCAATGACCTGAGTTTCAGCTGCATAAGAAGCATGGTTACTAAGTACTTCTGAAAATGAGTCTGTAAGTGATTTGTCCAAAGCTTACAGTGAGTCAGTGACAAAATCAGGAATAGAATCCAGGATTTTTGACTCCCTCTGATGCTCTGAATCAAAATGGAGTGATTTAAATCCAGATTATTTAAATCGGAGGTTCTCAAAGCTGGTCTGCCGCTTGTTCAGGGAAAGCCCCTGGTGAGCCGGGCTGGTTTGTTTACCTGCCGCATCCGCAGGTTTGGCCGATGGTGGCTCCCACTGGCCGCGGTTCGCCGCTCCAGGCCAATGGGGGCTGCGGGAAGCAGCACGCATCGAGGGATGTGCTGGCCACCCTTCCTGCAGCCCCCATTGGCCTGGAGCATCAAACTGCGGCCAGTGGGAGCCGTGATCGGCCAAATCTGCAGATGCAGCAGGTAAACAAACCGGCCCGGCCCGCCAGGGGCTTTCCCTGAACAAGCGGTGGACTGGCTTTGAGAACCACGGATTTAAATGACTTATCTTTAAAAATCGGGTATGTGCTTTTCTATCTTGATTTAACTTGAGACTTTATCTCTCTGTAATCCATTAATCTGTATCTATTGTCAAGCACATGCAAAAGAAGAAGGAAATTATGCTACACCCAGTTTAGGAGGCCTGATGCTGCCCCGGTTTCAGAAGAGGGAGCAGTGATGGCTAAACACACATCCCTTCCCCCCATTCCAGCATAGTCTCTACACAAAGACTATATGTTGTTCTAAAACAATTTAAGATTGAAAATAAGAGCTAAATTATACTGTTAAATCTGGAACAGAATGCATACAATCAGTTTGAGTGTCCAATTTATTGCTGGTTAGATATTGATGAATGCAAATTTCTTAAACACATCAAGTTCTTACCTCAGCATTCTTTTGCAGTAAACTTTGCCAAGTCTTGACCACATATTTGTACTACTAATGGCAGACAAGATAGCAAGAGAAAATAAATTTTATCTTTAACAATACCTTTTGTTAGACAGCTCAGTGGTTTGAGCATTGGTCTGCTAAACCCAGGATTATGAGTTCATTCCTTGAGGGGGCCATTTAGGGATCTGGGGCAAAAATCTGTCTGGGGATTGGTCCTGCTTTGGGCAGGTGGTTGGAATAGATGACCTCCTGAGGTCCCTTCCAAACCTGATATTCTATGAACAATGGAAATACATTCAGTTCTGGTTACACAATTCTCCCACTAAAATCTAAAATACTTGGGGACCCAGGCCTGCAGTTCTTACTCAGGTACAGTTCTCCATGGACTGCAGGATTTTGCCATGAATCTTGGTGTCCTAAAATATTTCATTCAAAGCAATATTTTTATTTTCACAAAAAACACTACTTTAGGAAGTCTAATTACAAGTCAACAGTAAGGAAAATAAATTAACGATATTCTTTGTTGTACACATGTAGCCAGGTATGTTTGCATTCAATGGATAAATTAACATCTATAATTACATAAAGTAGTATATCATATTTGAAAATATAATGCAACCTGGAACAAGGAGATGAAGACATTTTCAAAGCTGAAAATATCATGCATTTTGTTTGTGGGCAGTAATATGTTATAGATTTTATTATAGTAATGTTAGAGATTTTATTACTATTAAACTTGAAAAGAGTTATTGTATTTAAAATAGATATAAAAATAGCAGTATTGAGAGTTTAAAGGAGGTGTTCACTTTGGTCCTTAATACACATCCTGCTCTAATGTTGTGATATCCAGGGAATAGGAACAGGAAGACAAATCCACTTTAAGTTACAAAAATAGTGCAAGCTGTTTTTCAGAACAGGCTTCATCTGCGTGAGAGAGATACCAGGCAGGAAATTGTTAATACTTTGCATCAATAACTAAAGTAATTGAACAGTTCTCAGGTTTGCTTTTTTGTGGCTGATTTTTTAATCTGTTTACTGTTAGCTCATATTGCAAGCAATTTCTCTATTTGCAATAAGCCTTTATTAATTGCTCCCTTACTTTGGATATTTTTACGTTTCAACTGGCGATGGGCCAAAATCAGAACCTTTTATTCAATCCTTTCCCCTGAAGTTCAGGGCGTGTGCAGTGTTACCCCCCCAAATTTTTGTAAGATAGGTTCAATCTACTTTAAAACAAATTTTCTTTTAAATTTAAAATTCATCCCAGTGTTTGTCCTCATTTGCCACCATGTCCAAATTAATTTACTTCCGCATGTAAAAGCATTCTATCTCTGGAATGGCTTTAGAATTGTGAAGCCTTTATGCTGCTAAAAAATTTGTTGATATCTTGTGCTTATAGTTTGAGAATAAAATTGCTATTTGTTTCCTCTGAGTGTTTCCTCTTACGTTAATTTTGCTATAATAATTGCCACTCTTTTGTATTTTTTTTTCTAAATCTCATTCACTTTTTCTTTTTCGCCTTTCTTATTGTTTGCCTACACCTTGAAAGCAGTGTTGGACTTTTCTTTGCACTGCCGTTAGTCAGTAAAGATGAACTGTTGTCCTCCCTTGACATCCGCTAGACCAGAATACTGTTGACTTTTCAAAGGACACTGTATGCAAGCTGTATTGTATCTTCTTCAAATATAAAAAGATGACTGTTAATACTTTTTCTTTTTAATAACAGTAAGTTATTAAATAACAAGTCAAAAATATAAACAGCAAAATCAAACGTTTCTTTCTAATGCTTTTATCAGCTCTCAATTTGATCCCAGTAATTACACCTATTACATTTTCCTTTTGAGGATGGATTGTGGCACATATTTCTTGTTAGGCATTGTGCAGGATACTCCTGCACTGGGAGTTCCTGGATGCATGGTACCTTAGTAAGGCTCAGTGTCTCTTGATCTCAAGGGTGCAAATGGAGAGCACAGCTTCTACATCAGTCTGTGAAATTGCTGCACCCATATACCTCTGCACTCAGCTAGTTCTGCTGCAATAACCCCTGGCCATCTTTCCATCACCCCATTGATTTTGCAGATCCAATATAGTATTCATGCCTGCTCTTCATACTGTCATTTCAAAATGGTTGGATTATTAATCTTACCATTGTGTACAGATGCGCCACCTTCAAGAGTTCCATGCAACCCTGCGCATCTCCAAAGGATCGAATCCCTAAGCAGTTTGAAGGATGGAGCTGTTTCATGAGAAAGTTGCAACACACTTCAATGACTTGAGACAGCTGGAGGAGACAAGCTGCAGCCAGCAAGCTTTCTATAGTGTCTTCCTTTAACTCTAAAACACCTGTGTGGTTTAGAGCAAGAAAATTATGCATTAATTGGTTTGCCATTCACTTCCCTTGTACCTATGGCTACAACTACACTATGAGCAGTGGGTGTGATTCCCAGCTCCCATACGCATACTCGTGCTAGCTCTTATCTGAGCTAGTATTAGGGTGATCAGACAGCAAGTGTGAAAAATCAGGATGTGTGGGGGGGAATAAGAGCCTATATACAGGGCCGGCTCTAGGCACCAGCAAAACAAGCTGGTGCTTGGGGCGGCACATCTTTAGGGGCGGCATGGCTGGCGCCAGAATGCCGCCCCTAAAAATGTGCCCCGGCCACCCTAGCTCACCTCCGCTGCTGCTGCTGCCACGGCGCGCGAAACAGCTGATTCGCGCACCGCTACTCGCCCTCCCTCCCAGGCTCTCAAACCTGGGAGGGAGGGGGAGCAGCGGCGCATGAATCAGCTGTTTCGCGCGCCGCAGCGGCTCGGGGTCTTCCCCTCCCTCCCAGGCTCTCAAACCTGGGAGGGAGGGGGAGATCCCGAGCAGCCATTTCACTCGCCGCTGCTCCCCCTCCGTCCCAGGCTTGAGAGCCTGGGAGGGAGGGGGAGAAGCGGCGCCCACGCTGCGGCCACTCGGAGTCTCCCCCTCCCTCCCAGGTTTGAGAGCCTTGGGGGAGGAGGCAGGGCTGGGGATTTGGGGAAGGGGCGGAGTTGAGGCGGGGCTGGGGGTGGGGTAATTAAATAAGGGGGGGGCGGCCAAAATTGTTTTTGCTTTGGGCGGCAAAAATCCTAGAACCGGCCCTGCCTATATAAGAAAAAGCCCCAAATATCGGGACTGTCCCTATAAAATCGGGACATCTGGTCACCCTAGGTAGCATAGTAAAAATAGCATTGCCATGGTAGCACAGGCAGCAGCATGGGCTTGCCACCCAATGTATATACCCACAGGGTTCAGAAGGTTTTGTATTTGCGCCAGCTAGCCTGTACCGCCACAGCCACTGCCAGTGCTACCATGGCTACGCTACTATTTTTGGTGTGTTAGCTCAGATGAGAGCTAGCACAAGTATGTGTACACAAGCTGGGACAAGCCATAGCTATAGGTCTATTTGCATTTTTTCCCCCATGAGTCTTTCCTCACAGGGAAAATCTGTGGAAAATCTGGGCAAGACTTATGGTTGAATCACCACCCCTCCATAGCCACTGTTTTACTCTAGATTGCAACTGAGCCTGCTGTTGTCCTACACCCCTTCTGTGTGCATTTTTCAGCAACTGGCTCTTATCTAATTGTCACCAGCCTACTTCCGATATACCACTCCATGCTAATTCTGAGTCAAGATACAGACATATGTTTGCTAATCATTCTGAGGTTGGGTCAGTACTGCTAACCGGGATATAAAGCGTATCTCTGTAAAGAGGAATCAAGGGATTGGGATGGAGGAGGACCTGCAGGGAAAATCTAGAAACAGCCAGAATGGGGAGCAATTTTAGGCTGAGATTCACGGCATCTTGTTTGAGTTACCCACTAAGCCAAACCCCAGAAAACTGGTAATTTTGTAGTTGGTAGTGGGTTGGTAGACTCTGTTTAATGCAACATAGTATTGAAGGGGTCAACTAATATTAACAACATGGAAAGTTTATTTCATGCTTATATACTATGCATTTATTTTCAAATAAAATACTATGCCTGTAGATTAATTTAAATTCTGATGTTAGTTATGAATTAAAGCTTTTCCTATATCTGACTTTTAAGACTTTTACATTTAATTTATATTAATCACATTTTTCTTCTAATTTTACCAAGTAAAATGTGTTAAACTTTTATAAAATAATTGCATTAATCCATTTCCTTGAATTACGCTTATGAATTTTGTTCAATTATATCATTATTGTGAGATTTATTAGATATTGGTGTAAAATCTGTAGTGTAAGTTGCACTTTTCTCTTTTGACAATCATCTCTTTACATAACACTAGATATTTCTACAGGTTCTAAGACAATCAAAGTGAAAACAGTCTTCTATATTTTTACCACTTTAATGTAAATATCAAAGCACAGTAAATAAAATGGGCACTTGGAAAACATTTTAAATGTCCCTTCTTACACAGTAACCTTTTTAAAATTTAATTTTACTTATGTTTGCCATGAAATAATTTTTTACTCTCTTTGAAATGATTCATGGAAAGGTTGGACCCACTCAACAGGTATGAGCCACAGTTCTTCATGTCCCATTCTGGAGGCTCATGCTTGTAGAAAGTTGTCTCATTCAAAGCAAACCAATGAGAGAGAGTGCATGTATAAGAAAGGGAGAATGGAATGAATGGTGGATCAGTGGGAGATAGTTTACCATAGACTGTGCAAAGATGGTGTTCTGGTAAATTGAGTGCTGCTACATTCTGGAATACTGTTTTTCCCCCTTCTCAAGATTCAGGCATGGGAGAAGGAACTCCTTTGGCATCTACGGCAGAAAGATCTTTCTTCTGAGTTGAATAACCTCTCAAAGAGCTAGTATCTGCAGCCTTTCTATGCTTGCATAATTTTAAATGCTGTGTATATTTTTAGTTGGATTGCACGCTAGAGTAACAGAAATCTGTTCTACAACATTTTTTTCTCCACAGATTACAGAACAGCAAGAAAAAGACAATTCACAGTTCTCTGGTTTGGTCTTTTTGGCTATTGATTAAGGTCTCAGAATCAAATTAATAATTAATGTAAACATTGGGGTGCAATTGTACTGAAAAGAGGGGGGAGAGTAGACTAGAAAACCTGAAAATACTGAGCTACTAACATAAAATATCTTAGACCAATTTTTTTCAAGTAAACATCAGTAGTTAATTTTTCAAATTTGTGGCTAGTTCATGACATTAAGGAGTATATCTTATTCCCCTTGCTATATTAGTCCAGTTCCAAGAATGGGCCAGTGCTTCTCTCCCTGAAGGAGATGAATTGCTGAAGTTGAACCTGGCCATTTGTTGGGCCATCCAAAGCACAAAGGTTCCCAGCATGCTCCTCCCATATAACTTCATGAGCAAAGTAACAGGTTGAATCTGACCTTTATTAATTTAAATTACTATTGCTCTTCTTTGTGTCTGAATTAAAAATAGCAGATGTTCTAATCAAGTTCAGAGTAACAGAATCTTTTTATATTTGTATATCTGTTGGAATACGCTACTTGCAGTGTTGATATAGCCATGTTGGTCCCAGGATGTTAGAGAGACACGGTGAGTGAGATAATTTTATTGGACCAGCTTCTGTTGGTGAAAGAGACAAGTTTTCAAGTTACACAGAGCTCTTCCTCAGCTTCAGAAACTTCTCTCTTTCACCAACAGACATTGGTCCAATAAAAGAATAAGCTATTCATGCAAGATATGGAGTGTGAGGGAGTTGTCTAGTTTTATATATATCACACGCACTTCAGTTTACTTATTTGATATTATTCTGCCTGACTGCAAAAAGATTAACCAAAGGAGGCTTTTTGGAGATGGGGGAGGAGAGAAACAGGAAACAAAACAATGGCAAAGAGAAGGTACAGTCTGAGAAAATACCATGGGGTCCCTTAAGGAAACAATGGGGGTAGTTAGTAATAGGGGAATACCCTCTCACCCTCTGCTTCACTCCAGTGAGGCTTATTCTCCACAGAGCCAAGCCTAGGATCTAAGTAGATTCTGAAACCTTAAAGATGTTGGCACAGGTAAGAAGAGGGATTGAGTCAGTTGTCAGAAGCGTCCCGAGATGGAGATGCCAATGCAGACTCATGGAAGGAGGGAAAGAATGCAGCAAGACAGTCTGCTTCTCCCAGCTGAGATGAAAGTAACTGGACCGAATTGAACTTACCACGCAGAGGTCCAGTCTCATAGGGGTTGAACCATCTCTTCAGAGAGATGAATGAAGCCAAAACTTTCACCTTAGGGGTTCACTCAGAGGACACAAAATCACAGCTTACCCTGTAACTATGATATATTCTTATTTTTCCTCACAATAAGAGCTAGCTAGGGTTGTTGCGGGTTATTTTTATTTTGTCATCATATTTGGTAAATAGCATACTTCACAAATATATTTTCCAGTATTGAGTATGTATCTAAGAACTAACATAAAATGGATGAGGTGAAAAACGTTTGCATACTGGACAGTGTTCACCTTTCTTTACAGAATTGGAGAATTAGATTCGGAATTACCTGTATAGGCATAGTGCACCAAAGCTTTCAGTGCATCTGGGTCCACTCCTTCCATTTTGATCTCCTCTTCTTTCGCTTCACGCACATCATTAGTAAACATTGCAGCAAAATAATCAGACACGGCACTAAGAACCAATCTTGAAATAGAAATATTTTAGGGGGATTTAAATTAGTTCATAATCTCAATGGGAAGCAAAAACTCAGCCAATTATTATACAATTCATTTGTCGGTGTAGGAGAAACATATCTTCTCCCTAAGACTTTATCCTTACAGTGGTTAGCAGAGAAGTTAAAAGGGTAACTAAGTAATCTAATTTTCTTTCAGAGGGTATGTTTGTTCTGTTTGCTTCACTCATCTCTCTAAAGTTTGACTGTAGCAAAATAGAGCAACTGGTTCATACTTGAATTTCTTTCCATTTACAATAATGAATTTAAAGCTGTGATCATATCATTTAACTGTCTTCAGCTGATGTGTTAATTATTGTAACCATTCATTAATAACTAATCAGGAACAAGGTGAGAACTCACATTATCTGAGCTCTTGGAACTGTCATGCTATAAAGGCTTGTAAAAATAAGGAAAATTCCACCTGTGAGCTGGAATCTTGTGATTTCCAGCAATGAGAAGAACATCACACAGCTGCTTCTGCTGGAGATAGTTCTCCATCTTGCGGAATGTCTGCTCTGCATGATTTGTGGATTGGAAGTATTCGTCTGAGCCATTGGTGTTCATTCCAGTGGGTGAACAGCTAGTTATTGATAATCTGTTAAAGAAAGAGAAAATGCGGTTACTGTAGCACTATCAAACCTGAGAATGCTTTTTCACTTCATCTTTAATTGAGCTGTGGAAATTGCAGTATAACAGGAAGTCTTTAAATATATTGATCTGGTGAGAGTGGACTTAATGTGTCATTTTCCATTTGTTTCTTTTAATTATACTTCAGACCTTTTGTAAACTATTTTAAAACTTATTGTAACTATAATAAATATTTTCTAAGAGAGAAAAACAAAATAAAAAGAAAGGGTTCATATCTGGCAAATATAAATAATTTTAAGGATATATTACACTATTTTAGTGAGTTCTATGAGGTCAGGTAGAGGATTCTAGATTTGAGTGTAAAAGATTATGAATCAGGGGTGGGTGGGGCTGGTTTTTTCTTCCAGATACTACTTCCTTCTCATTTACAAAGCTGATTCTATTAAATCATACAGCAAATATAATTTGGGTATTTCCAATTATTTTAAATTATTTTTACTCAGCAGATGTGTGCTTTAGGCAACTGTCATAAGGACGTCTACCAATTTATTAATATTAATGCAATACTGATAGTTAAAAAATTGATTTTAGAATTATTTCCTGTGGGCCTGATCCTGCAAAGACAACTAAGTCCAGCAATTTCTACAAAGAGCAGTTCCATGGGCATCAATTAGAAAACTATTCATGCTAGTAAAGGTTTACATGGGTAGACCCTATGAAGATAGAAGTGTCAGGGTCTAAAAGGTTCATGGCAAATCCCAGACTTCAATACAAAAATAACAGACTACATTATACTCCTAAAAACACATCAAAAAGACACTGGTTTTTGACCATCAAACATTTTATTGATAAATCATATTAATTCATCAGCAAGCTCGTAAGTGTCAATAAATGTAATGTGAAAAGTCTCAATGAATTCATGATTGGACTGCTCTTCTTCTTGCTGAATACCATATTACCCTGTGCATGATTTTTTAATTTTTTTAACAAGTAGGTACCTAATCTGCTGGTCATTCCTATTCAGACTTTAACAGTCTGATATGCATATTATTTTCCCCAGCTCTTTTAATCATCTCTCCAAATGATGTTTTGTTTTTATTTTTTGGTAAACTTTTAATGGATGTTTACGCTTTCCTAACTCTTCTTGAGTTAAGATGAATCATTTCTTTGACCATTTATCGTGTTGATGAAATCTAGTTTGCTATATTTTTTTCCTGCTACTTGGTACATTTAAACTGGCAAATTATCTTTACAGTTATATTTGGATTTGCAGTGGGCCTGAAGCTGTCAAGAAGCAGCAGCAAACCTTAGTTCTTTTGGGTTCATGCATTGTGCATATGAAAACTCAAGTGAAAGAAACTAGAAATTTTCATGATGTTAAGGTCTTTCAGCAACATGTTCTGGTTTTGTAGAATCAAAGCTTCCATTTGAAAGAAATTTCTCACTTTTACTGTTTTCAAAGGTAGTCTTCATAATATAACACTTTGGTCCCGTAGGGTTGCTGCCATTGTGTGTGTGCATTAGATCAGGTCCACAGTAGAAGAGGTCTCCTAGTATAAATGTACATTTTGCAGGCAAGAGTTCTGTTGCTGATATAACATCTACCAGTTCTCTGAGTGAAACTAGCTACACTGACAAAAGCATTTTAATGTTAGTATAACTGCATCTACACTAGTGATTTTGCCTCTATAGATGTGTTGTTCAAAAATTACACCCCTCACTGACATTACTATGCCAGCAAAGTTTTCTAGTGTAGATCTGGACACTTTGTGTTTGTGTTTGTATTTTGGCACTATCTCCACATTGTGTAAAACCTATTTACTTAGGGCAAGTCTACACTTAAAACGCTGCAGCAGCTGCTCCACTGTAGTGCTTTAATGAAGATGCTCTAAGCCAATGGGAGAGAGGTCTGGTGGGCCTAGTTAATCCACGTTCCCGAGAGGCAGTTGCTAAGTCAGTGAGAGAATCTCTCCCATTGACATACTGACTACATGGGGGGGGGGGAGGGAGGGAAGGTTAGGTCAGTATAACTGTCACTCATGGGTATGGATTTTCCACATCCCTAAGCAACCGTAGTTATACCGACATAGGTCTGTAGTGTAAACCAGTCATTTGAGAAAGTGTAACTTCAAAGTCTACCAGAGACCATTAATTTTTCACCTAATTCAACTTCTATTGAAGTGAATGGCAGGTATTCCATTGACTTAAAAGAGAGCAGGCCCGTCAACAAGATTCTGCAGGAGTGAGGCAGCATTTTCACATGCCCTTTAGCTCTTTTTTCCCCCCCCAAACAGAATGAGCTCTTTTCTTATTCTTTAAAGTGAGGTTTCCTTTTCAAATTAAATAGTTTGGAATGAAATTTAGATTTTCCCTGCCCATTCATCCTTGGAAGTTCTTCATTTTATTTCTCATTCTTTCCTTCTTTATAACAACTGCAATTATTCAGTTTGTCTTGTGCAATGGAACTGGATACTGTGGGTCTGATTCTGCTTGTTAACCATACAGAATGTGCAATCCATTATTACATAGAAGAAATAATAAGTTGAGGTAATAAGAAGTTCCAGAAGCTTTTGCGTAGTTCTTGTTGCTAAGAAACGTCTTCTGTTATGCATGTGTCCATAATGTCTGTATCCTTCACAGTCTAGCCATCTAGAGTGCAGACCAATTTTTGTGACCCTCCCAAAGATGAAAACAGAATAATTTTATCATACTCATACTACTTAGATTGGATATATTTTTGTAGATGTTTGGGGATTATGGGAGTATTGGTTGTTTCCTGGTTAAGGAATTGAATATATTCCTTATTTATTCCAGTCAAGGTTTTTCTGCAGTTTTTTTCATTTTTTTTACACAAAGGCAAACTGTAGGTGCAGTAAGTAATTTAAAAAGTATTCGATATCAAACCTCTGTGTCACAAACAATCTTGTAATTTGGGTGCATCATGCCAGATCGAGAAAACTGAAGATAGAGGATTAATTGCATATGATACATTTATCTAGTATGCAATGAAGCAAGTGTAAATTTCACTTGATACATAAAGTGAAACTGAATAAAAATTAAGCTGGTTTCCCATGAAGTAGTAACAAGTAAAATTCTAGCAAGATGATGACAAGACAACTAATGACCCACAATCTGACCAACTAGGGGCCTCTACTTGATGCCAATCAAATAATATAATCACAAAAATATAGGGCTGGAAGGAACCTCGAGAGGTCATCTAGTCCAGCCTCCTGTGCTGAGGCAGTACCAGCTATACCTAGACAATTCCTGATAAGTGTTTGTGTAACTTGTTCCTGAAAACTTCCAATGACTGGGACTCCACAACCTCCATTGGAACCTATTTCAGTAGTTGACTGTCCTTAAAGTTAAAACGTTTACCCCGAGAATATTTAGCCTAAATCATTTTTGCTACATGTTAAGCTGATTACTTCTTGACCTATACTCATAGGACATGGAGAAAAATTGGTGACTGTCCTCTTTATAACAGCTCTTAACATATTTGAAGACTGTTATCAGGTTACTCCTCAGTCTTCTTTTCTCAAAATTAAACATTCCCAGTTTTTTTTAACCTTTCCTCATAGGTTGTGTTTTCTAAACCTTTTTTCATTTTTGTGGCTCTCCTCTGGACTCTCTCCAATTTGTCCACATCTTTCCTGAAGTGTGGCACCCAGAATTGGACACAGTATTCCAGCTGAGGCCTCACCAGTGCCAGGTATAGCGGGACAATTACCTCCCTTGTCTTACATGCAACACCCTTGCTAATTCACCTCAGAATATTACCCTTATTTGCAATTGCAACACATTGTTGATTCATAATCTGTTTGTGATACTTTATAACACCCAGATCTTTCCGCCAGTCATTCCCCATTTTGTACTTGTGCATTTGATTTTGTTATTCCTAAGTATAGCACTTGTCTTTATTAAATACATTTAATCTTCTTGATTACAGACCAATCCTCCAATTTCTCAAGGCCACTTTGTATTCTAATCCTGTCCTTCAAAGTGCTTGCAACCCTTTCAGCTTGGTGTCATCTGCAAATTTTATTAAGTATATTCTCCACTGTGTTATCCAAATCATTAATGAAAATATTGAATAGTACCAGACCCAGGACAGAGGTCTGAGAGACTCTACACAATCTGTTTGACAGCAAACCATTGATAAACTGTACTAAAAGAGTAGTTAATTTTCATATATTTTACTTCCACCTTATAGTAATGTCTAGGATATATACCCTACATGGTGCTCTCTACACCCAAGCAGTGCATCCCATGTCTACAGTGTAGTGTCCCACTCCCTCCCTATTGCCAGAGTTTCTCCCTATCTCTGTGAAAGACTTCAGCACCTCCAGTCTAAGTAAGGCCTGGGCTCTTCTTCTCTCATCTGACAGAAATAATCAAAAATTTGTTCTGCTTAGCTATGATTAGGGGGAAATATTTCTGACTTGATTTGCCATTATAGGCACACGTGTTCCAAGTGAAAAGCACCAAAGTATTATGTGCCCAAAGGAGGGGGATAGCAAGGAGGCACCCTCAAATGTTGAGTTTTCACCCTCAAAAGCGTTAGCCTCTGCGCACCTGCCTCACACTAGTTTTGAAATCAAATTGAAAATAAATATTTCCCCTTTTTCTCCCAGATGTGCAGAAGTCATGATAAAAATGCATAGAAGTGCTATATTTGGTCATTTTTATCATTTTTAAAATGTATTAATTATAGTTTCCCTGTCCTTCCAAGATCTGTACAGACTTGGACACCGTACAATAAAATCACACATCAGAGAGGGACAGAGCCAGATTAATCTTTTGTGGGCCCAGCGCCCAACATATTTGTGGGCCCACCGTGGGCAATGGAGCATGGTGCAGGGGGGTCAGTCCCTGGAGTGAGCAGCTGGCCAGGGGCCTATAGCATAGGGTCCAGTGTGAGGGCACTATTTACAAACCTGCAGTAGCCAGATGCACAGTGGCATGCCCAGCCCTGTGCTGCCAGCATGCCCCTTCCCCTTGGGGGTG